TATTGTTTTGTTGTAAAAAAAATAGTATTTTTATTTGTGCAATAATAGTAGATTATACCACGAGTCAATAATGATAGCTATTATTCCCGAGGATTATTACGAACTGAGCCGCGTTAGCGGCGAGGGAGTAACATTCCGAGGGAATAATAGCCATTATTGCGAGTAGTATACTCTACTTTATTTACGACAAATTAATTTATTTGAGATTTTCAATGAACAAATTTCATCCGCCTCATAATTTTCAATACAAATCCACAAGCATTACACGTTTGACACTGACACTTTTGTGGAATAATGACCATTAATCCCGCTACTCGACATTAATCCCTGGAGGAATAACATATGTCATTATACTGCCAAAATCACAAATATAATACGCACATTATACATTAGTCGTAAATAAAGTTAATAAAGTTATTATATATTTTTTTCGAATTCATGAGGATTTATTGGATTTAAGGAGCTCCGCATTAGTAAACTAATTCATTTTTTTTTGTCTCAATGAAATCCTCGATATTTTTCACAATTTAAGCGGCTACGATGGGCATTTTAAAGTTTTATTTACGACTAATGTATAATGTGCGTATTATATTTGTGATTTTGGCAGTATAATGATATATGTTATTCCTCCAGGGATTAATGACGAGTAGCGGGATTAATGGTCATTATTCCACAAAAGTGTCAGTGTCAAACGTGTAGTGCTTGTGGATTTGTATTGAAAATTATGAGACGGATGAAATTTGTTCATTGAAAATCTCAAATAATTAATTTGTCGTAAATAAAGTAGAGTATACTACTCGCAATAATGGCTATTATTCCCTCGGAATGTTACTCCCTCGCCGCTAACGCGGCTCAGTTCGTAATAATCCTCGGGAATAATAGCTATCATTATTGACTCGTGGTATAATCTACTATAATATTTTACTTCAACGGACATTTTGGACATATTATGCTGCCAAGTGGGCCAGTAAAATATGACATAGACGAAAACTATGCCACAGCGTTAAGGCCCCACAGACTGCGTTTTTGTTTGACGGTTTTGTTCGACAAGCAAATCTGGTCGAGCAAAAACGACGGATCGCAGTTGCACACAGACCTCAGTTTAGTTTGGCAAACATCAGTCATGTTGGAAAGCTTTAATTTTTTTTTTATTTCAATAATGTGAAATTACGTAGCTACGCACCACACACAACCGTCGTTTTTAAAATTCGTAGCCCACACACTTCAGATTTGTTGACATATCGAACATATCCGACGGACAAAATCAGGTGAAGCCAGATATTTGCATCGGTTTTGTATGCCAGCAAAAACGACAATTTCTCGCACACACACTTCGGTTTTGCGTCGTTTTTGCTCAACCAGATTTAATCGTCGAACAAATCCGTCCAACAAAAACGCAGTCTGTGGGGCCCTTTAGTCACGAGAATACAAAACGCCCACGAGTTAGTTTAGAGGAGCATAGAAGCTTCTATTGACAGAAGATGCGATAAACACTATGCAAAATGAATTAGGAAAGTATTCCAAGTCGCGGATTTAGTTTATGTGAGGAATCCAGTTTTACCAGGAAGCAATTTAGCACCGAAATTAATTCCGTTGTTAATGGTCAGGACCAAGTCGAATTTTCTCAGAAGTTAGGACCGGTTACATTCAAAATAAAGGAATTGCACGGGAAGAAATAGCAGATTTAACATGCTGAAAGACTCAAACATAGAATAATAGTTCCTACACCAGATCACGGAGATAGTGAATACGATGAAGAGAAGGACAATGAGGTTCTACCTAGGGGAGAAGACATTATAGAATTTCCACTAATCCATAGGGAAATGATAAGAAACGAGAATGGAGAGATTGTCGATCGAAATGAAATTAATGACGTCAATGATGAAATAAGGGCGCAAGAAGAAGATGAATTTTAGGCACGGGGACAAGAATTACCCGTAAGGCCCAGAGAGATGAGAGATAGCGATAGCGAAATGGAAGAAGAAAATAAAACCAAGAAAATGAGGAAAATCCGGAAGAAGGAGAAGAAAAAGAGGTTGAGGAACACGATCCTGAAGTACCAAGGAGTACGAGGACACGGGACATAAAATGTCCCGCTAGATTTGAGGATTATGTACTAAAGAAGCTGTACAATGTAGAAAAATCAGAGTATGTCTAGTCTATATGTATATATCTAACTAGGAATTGTAAAACCTAAAATGCCTAAGGAAGGATGTTAGCTATAAAATTTATGAATAAGAAAAAAATAGAGTAGTATGTAAGGATATAAAAAGTTTAAAGGCCGTAACTAAGGTAATTAAGGAACTAAATGTATAACATTTATTTAGAAACAAACCATTAGAAATAGTAGGTACCAAGAAAACGACGAACTCGTTCCGCTGCCACGTCACGTATCCATGTTGAAATGAAAGGTTTGGACAATGCCGTCCTAGTCATGAAACTCCGACGAGCCAGTAGGAGCAATCGCGAAGACCATGGTAGAAGCAGCCAATCAGAGCCAGTAGCCACGAGGGTAGTGTTGTGCAAAGTGAAAAGTCAAAAGGGTATAAGTGTGACTAGCAAACTAGTGGGAGCACCCACGAGTAGCATCAGCATCCAGATCGTAACTATCCTAGTTGCGATACCTACTTCTGTGAGATTGACAGCGAAACTACAGGCAACCAATCAATGAGTCGCCTCGGAAGGCCGTAATATAGTCCTAACGAGCAACCAGCGCTAATACAAGTAAACTTTACTAAAAGTAAGGGTTATTACTTTGTAAGATTGAAATTTGTATTTATGTCGTTCTAGCATCAACAATTTTGAAAAAAAAAAAAAAACGAAAATTGTATTACTGAAGAAAATAACGAAGGGTGAAATACAAAACTTTAAATGGGCATAGAATATGATTTGACCAAATTATCTTATTCAATATAATGTCGGTTTCAAAGGGTGGAGGGATGTAATGACCCGTAATTTACAATGTCATGAAAAAAACAGTTAATTTAAATGTAATAGAATAATCAAAAATTGAATCTCCAGTATTTCAAATCAGTAGATATCAATAAATTAAAAATGAAACAAATTAGCATTAACCCAAATCAATTAAAATATTTAAAATACGTTCAAATTTTATTAGTTAGGGCGAGTTCTCATGAGCGTAAGTTGACATACCTGGCGTAATCACGTAATAAAATGGTTGGGTTTTATTGGTAAAATATTCGCTATGCTGGATATGTTACCAATCAAATTACACCATATTATCACGTGATTACGCCAGAAATATCAACTTACGCTCATGAGAACTCGCCCTTAGTCTTCAAGCGCGTGTCATCAAATTGAAATAATAGATAATGACGATCAAGGCAAAAGTAATTAAATTGGTTATTTACGGCCGACACGAGTTTCGGCATTCTTTGATTTCATGATTTATATGTCCTCAAATTCTTATACCGACTCTCTTGATCCCGATAATCCAGAAAATTACGACATATTTGGTTTTAAACATAAATATATTTCTTAGAAAAAATGGTTAGTGTTGTGTTAAGTAAATATTTTGGGGGGAACGAAAAATATAAAAACAGTGGTTTCGGAATTTTGGAGGCAGTTTAAGTCTCAAGCAGTCAGTCTTCAGTTCAGATCAGTTCAGCTTTAGAGTCTTGAGTCTACAGTAAGATTAAAGAGTCAGTCCGGTCAGTGCGAATGAAATTCGCAGAGTTTCTTTTGTTTTGTTGCTTCGGAAAAACGCGTTAAATCGAGTCTTTGAAAAAGTAACGAAAAATTGTGAAAGAAAGAACCATTAAATTCGTTCAACATTATGTGCGAGCTCCAAATAATCAAAAGTGCTATATTAGAATAATTTAGTGGTTTTAAGGACCAATGTAAGTACTCTAGTGACATGACATGATCATCAAATTGACTGTTATTGTTCCATCTAGTAAATGATTAGTTAGATATTTTGGTTTTTACCTAATTAAATGAATTTAGATAAAATGTTCATTATTTTGATAAGTAATTACTCTGGCTAAGTACACAATTTTTGAGTATAAGACGGTATAAGTATTGTACAAAATTTGGCAGTAAGAGAATTCAGGGATTTAATACGCTTATAGAACTGGAAGTTATAATAATTAAACTAAGGCTGTGGTCCGAATATAACCAGGGTTATGGTTTCACGGTCCGAAAGTAATCAAAATACTCTGGTTCCTGGAAAAGTGGTTACTTTTGGACCTCGGTTTCCTGAAATCTGGTTAACCAAATGTCAAAATAGCTACTGGTCATCAGATGTCGGTTCTGTTGGTTTTATCTGTAATTTCTGTCAATTAAATTTTATTTCATATTTGCGTTCCCCAAGTAACCAGAATTTTCAGTAACCATCTGTCAACCGATTCGGTCACTCTGGTTAACGTTTGGTTATATTCAGACCATAGCCTAAGTTATGAATCAGTGTTTTGACGTGTAAAAGGTGTTTTGATTTAAAAATATTGTACCTAATGTAGTATGCCTATATGAAAGTGTTATTAAAGTACAAGGCTTTTTGATTGCTACATTTTATTTACAAGCTTAGAGGCAGTGTAGAGGTGGCTATACGTTAGCATCAATTTAGAATTGTTTATATTTGTTTAGAAAGGTCTTAGATTAGGGTTTAGAAAATTTGTACCATTTTGGAAATGAAAATCTGTTTATTTTCTCATTAATAAAGTATAATTATTAACGGATAACCATAAATCAGCTGTTTCTTTCAATTGCGAATAGACCCGCCCCCACAATTTTATATTACAGTAGCTGCCCAAGGAAATAATTACCATCAAATACGGCCGCTCGTAATTTACCATCTAACCTAAATAATAGAGTACTTGGCGCGGATGTTACACTACCAAAATAAGTCCACTAGCAAAATTTGGATTAATAATTTTTACCTTTTCTCTCTGCAGTAGGCTTCTTCCTTGGTTGACTTTCAGCTCTAGGTTTAGTTTTAGCTATTCTTGCTTTAGTTTTCTCCCCATTTTCAATTATCTTACTTTCCTCAGCTTTTTTAGGCTTCTTCTCCTTGTCAGTTTCTAATGAATCTGACTTCTTCACAGGCTTGTCTTTATTGATAACATCTCCATTCATTTCTCCATTATTTTTAATAGAATTTTCCATTAAAACTTTATTCTCAATTTTCTTTTCAGTTATAGGTTTGCTTTCTTTAGCAGTTAATTTGTCAAGTATGTCCTGCTTAGTTTTTTTAACAGGCATTACAGACTTAACTGTGCAAACAGGATGTTTCATGCACTCGAGACTCTTCAGTCTATCCAAACCGTCAAAAATCTTTTTCTGGGGAGTACTGCCAGGATACAAAATCCTAGTGATAGTGTCATTAGGATTAGCAGGTTGCCACACCAGTAGGGCACAAATCGAAATCAAATTTTGCAAAGGAAATGTGAATTCTTTTCCAGTTTTAGCGGCAGCGAACAATTTCGAGTCGCTTTGGTGCCATCTCTGCAAAAACTCGCGCACATCGCGTGAATTTTTGTCCGGAGACAGGACGAACATGTTTAGAGTACCATGGCCAACCTTATGATAGAGTATAATGGGTTCTGAGTCCCTGTAGCAAGTCTGAGGGCTCAGATTTAAGTGCTGCAAGTCTTGGATGATGGATTGGCCTTCTTCAAGGAGGCTGATGATTAGTGGGTCTTTGTCTTTGTCACCGTCGGGACTTAGAAGAGATTTGCGTTCCTGAAATTATATGAGGTTTAAGTTATTCTAGAAGTAAGTACTTTTTTCCTGAACATATTCGACGTTTGTCGTTTCTTAAGTATTTTAAGGAAGGACATTCACCTGTATATTGCAAAAGAAATGGCCGAGTTGAGGATAAATGGCGCCTTGCTTCTTACGTTTAAGTACTGAGCTAACACCGCTAAGGCTACTATTGTTCAGTCTAGTCATTAGAACAGCGTCTAATCTGGAAAAAAAGTAAGAAAAAAATGTACAAATTTGGTTTGAATTTGCTGATTTATAGTCTCTTACCTATCTAAGTGTCTAACGAAATCCCAAAAGCAAGCTTTTCTAGAATAGCCTCCGTCTAATAGCATATTGAAGCCATTGATTCCGAAAAGGGCTGCATCACCTTGGCCACCTAAAGGAATAATATTGATTATGGTCTAAAAGTTTTCTATGCTTAAATAGAGCATTAGAGTAATTCTTTTTTGGTCTAAAAGAGGATTTTTATTATAGGTAGAGTCATTGACCATGCTTTATGAGATAATTAAGGAGAAAGTCTATAAAAAGCTCCTTAATAGTCAATAACTACCCTTTTAGAAGCTATTTAATAAAGCTAAAAGCTTATTAAGACCTCCAATGAATTACACCTAATTAATTGCTTCCGTGATACTGTCAGGACTAAATATGTAATGACAGCAGCTTTAATTGAGCCATTAACTTCTCTTAAGGTCAAATTATAGGTACTTTTCCTATCATTACCTGGAAAAACATATAATGTCGGCCTAGAAAATCTAATATTTCCCACTACGTCGGAGCTTTCCAGAATATCTTCCAGGACAGAGGGAACCAAAAACGGTTCCAAATACTTTGTAAAACTGGTAATGGATGGTGACCCTGTTGTTAGGACGTCTGTTGGATTAACACGGACCTGAAAAACGTTCAACATCATATTATAAATGATTAGGTACCTACAATGATTATTCAAGGTAAAAACCGCTTAAATCTCGAATAAGGAATGAAAAGCATAATTTATAAATTCTGCAAAAGAGTATTATATAGAGCTACCTATACCTATATCATCTTTCCCTTTACATAAACGAATCTAGATTCGATCAAAAGGCACTGTAACCCGTTTTCATACTTCGAAAACGAGACATAAAAGGCATTGTTAAATCGTTGTATTTGATTTTTATGTCTTTTTTCAGTATTTTAATATAAAACGTTAAATTTTAAGGAGCTTGAGTTTCAAACTTTTCTCATTGAAACCCCTTCAGAAGATTTGAGCCTGAAAGGTGTGCGAAATCCCTCATTTGAGGCCGACATAAATAAAAGTAATTTAAGTTTTATGAACGGGCATATTGTGGAATGGAGAACAACGTTAATTAGACGTTACGCGGTTGGGATGGCAAGATGGGGGAGAAATTTCATTGGTCTAACTCTAATATCTTAAATCCGTACCTGAAAGTGTGGTAAGAGTTTGGTTAGACGTTTTTATTGACGGAACTAATTAGGAAGATGGAGCTGTATGCACTAGATTGTGACCTCATCAATTGTTGTATCCACAATTTATATTGTAGTTGTTGACAAAAGTGCAAAAGTTCTTAAATATTAATTAGCCCACGGAACGTTAGTAAAGTTGACGTGGAGAATGAAGTGAAAAGTGCAGGAAGTGACTGAAATGCAGTTTAAACATTCTTCATCTCGACTAGAAATGTTTGAAACTTCCTGAAGCCAGCGATAGAGTGGTCAGAGTGGACTGGAATGTATGTAATTAGATTTAAATAATTCACCTCGACAGGGTAGTAGATACTTAACTTCAATTTATGATGACGATGAAAATGCTAATCGTGCTCTTATCCACTTTGTACTTTTACATAACTAAGTAGAAGCTATCAAATCGAAACCGAAATATTACATTTTCGATCCCATTAAGATGAGTATAAGCAAGCAAAAGTCCTACACCCTTCAAGAATACAAACAAAAGCTTTCTACCCTTGTACATCAGTCACCAATGAGGGTTGACTACGTTTAGGGAAAAAGAATGGGAAATCGATGAACTATAAAAGAAAGTTTGCACGCTTTAGTTCACAAAACCGTATCCAGCCTTTGTAACTTTAAAACTCAAGAAAATCCATTAAAATGATAGATATTTTATACTTCTTTTATGTTGCCTTCCAACCATTATTATACCATAAGCATCTCGTATAACATAAAAACTCATTTAATTTATGTCAGGCAATTGTCGGAATTGAAGCAGCTTCATTTCTCATCCCTCCCAAATTACGTCTCGGGTACTTACACTTAAGGCAAAATGACCCACTTTTCACCCCTTAGCGGGAACATTTATTGTTAAACATTAGCACGAGATAAAATGGCGATGTGTTTAATAACGTGGCTAGCCGGACACTTTTGTGGGAGGAAACACGGCATTATTCGATCGGATGAGCTGAGAAAATTCGGTTTATAGGGTAGTTTAGATAAATTTTTATTGGGATACATTTTGAAAGTTTAGTTTGGATAAAATATTTCACAATCGAGTATTACTAAAAAACAACGATATCATAATTTATGTTTATTTCTCTAGCTAATTTTTCTCCAATCTCACAAAAATAATCGCTAAAATAGTAATCGTGTAATCCTGTAATTTTCCAATAGAAGGCGGTACAACCGATGAAGCTGTTTTTTAGTTTATGAAGTTGTTGTTCACTGCTATGCACTATAGTGAATCATCCGAACTACACTATTTATAAGTTCTGTGTCTAATCGGTTTTTAAATGTGTTTATATTATAGGGGCGGCCACTGTATATTCTGGTGATTCATTTTGAAAAAAATTCTTTGGTATCTTGCAGCCTTCTCCTTGTCCAGTTTCTTTGAATGTCAGGAGTTGTTGGTTTCGATTATGGCGAAAGATCTGCCTAATATCGAAATTTTTATAGTACCCGCTTGTTATCTTGTATGTTTCTATATTAAAGGCCCTTCTATGTCGGCTTACTTTTCATGTTGCCAATTGCATTCTTATCAATCTTTCATTGTAAGTATGATTCTGTAGCTCTGGTGTTATTTTGGTTACTATTCTCTGTATTTTTTCAAGTGTTTCAATGACTTTAATATAATAGGGGTTTCACACTGTAAAAGCGTATTCCAGCTGGCCTGATAAAGCTTTGTTATCATCTCAATAGAATGATCTTTGAGGGCGTGTTTGGTAAAATAAACAAAGAAACTTGCTTTCTCTGTTAGGTACGGTTGATAGAAATTTCCTGTTCAACGAGGATTCGTGGTTTGAATTGCCTGGGCCAATTCTAAGTACTGTATACATTTTGTCTCATTTAGTTTCATTCCCCACATCCCTGACCAGTTTTCCACCCTTTTTAAGTCTTCCTGGAAGTTGATTTGCATTAATTAGTGGGTCTGCTATCATCAGCAAAATTTTTCAGTCTGGTTTCAATCAGACCAACAAGATCGAAAAGATAGGCAGTAAAGAGCAGTGGCCCCAACACCGATCCCTGGACAACTCCACTTTGAACTAGGTGTCTGCTTGACATTTCTCCGTTTACTCGTACCTACTTGGTAGTATCGTTCAACCAACGACTATTTAATCAATGCCAGCAACTGTCCACGCGCTCCAAAGTGCTCCAAGTTTCCACATAACAGCTTATGTGGCACTTTATCAAAGGCTTCCTCATAGTTCAGGAAAATCACGTCATTGTTATGGTTTTCTGTCCGTGTCCAGTCATTTAAATATTCAAGCAAGTTGGTAGTTGTTAAGCGTTTTGAAAGAAATCCATGTTGGGATGATGAAATTGATTTATTTTCAAAAAAATAAAAATAAAAATACTGTCAGTTCTCTCACTATGTTTTATTTTTTCCGCGGATCTGGCAGTCTTCCTAATTCTATACCTTCCTCCATAACCTCCGTCTGTCGTTGACCAATGAAATCATTGTTATTTTGTAGCAAAATTGTTGGAAAATTGTCAGGTCCTGGACTTGAGTTTCTTTAACTTCATTGTGTTCGGGTGTTTGGGAGTGATCGTTGTCACCTTGGAGTTTAAGTTCCTGCTTACATACTAATTTTTTTTGGTGATTCCGAGGTTACTTAGACATGTTCAAATGATTTTCTGGCCTTATCAAGGTTTTTTTTAAGGGTATTATTTTACATCAATAGTTTTCTTGTGGTTTATTATTTTTGTATTTATCCATGGTTTTTGCTGATTTACTGTTGTAAGTTTCAATGGTATATATTTTTATACTGCTTTATTTTAAACCATCTGAAAGCTCTCAAATTTATCCTCTCCTATGTAGTTAGGTTTTTGTCTGATATAGTTGTTGACATCTTCATATTTTGCAGTGTAAAAATTTCTGCTGTGCACCTTTTTTGTTGGTTTCTAATGAGGTATTTTTATTTGTACTTCAACTATTCTACCTCCTATAGGTGACTCTGATTTGAGATCAAATACGCTTTTTTTTTTCACTGCAAAGAAACAGATCCAAAAGTGAGCTCTGGTCATTTCTATAACGGGTTGGAAAGTTTATTAGTTGGTAAATGTGGTTGTGCTGATACATATCGATTAAATCTTGGGTTTTCTTGTCAGCTGAGATCACCGATAGGTTTTCCAAATTTATCGGGTAAAGCCAGAGGAAAATGTGAGAGATGGCAAGGACACCATTAGCAGGCTTTTTAGTAGTATGGAATTGACTTTACGAGAGACAGTTAATATATTTAAATTAGGAACTGAGGCGGCTGATAAAAAAAAAGCAATAAAAGTTATGTTGTCTAGCAGGAAAGAAGCTCTACAAGCTCTAAAAAATAGAGAAGCCCTTGAGCAGAATGTAAAGTAAATACCATTCTGTTCATCAATTTTATTGAAGTGTATCGACACGTCAGCATTAGTTTGGTATAAATACCGCGCCGAGATCCATTACTAGCAGACTAAGGCTAGTGCAAAGTACCTCAATTGAGAAAAGCCGCTCTAGCTAAGTCTCCTCCCAGTGCAAACAACCTTTATTGGGAAACGCCCTTCTGGAAGTATCGAACGCAGCAGACTAGGTCTAGTGCAAACTACCTTTATTGGAAAACGCACTTCTGGACCTGTCAACACTTCATCAGTCTTCAGTCACGCCAAATGTATAGGTAGAGTGTACATAATCTACAGTCTACAGAGTGGCCTTAGTAGTATCTCCCACTGTAGAAGACATGTTATTATTCATAGAGTAATATTATCCTATTTTATTAATTCATATCTTATTGTACCTATACCAAGCGAGTATATCTCTTTACCTGAACCCCACCTACGCCCCCAGGTCACGCACCTGTTGTGACGTCCTAGGACGAAACGTATAGGGATTGTAACAGTACCTCTATAAAGGCCGATCAAACAGAAAATGCAGAAAAGAGAATATCTTGAAACAAGTTCTAGTGGACATGGAAAAGCAAAAAATTGAAGGAAATGAAAACATTGTCATTAAATATGTCAATGGGATAGGTACCATCGTCACCAAAAGTAACTGGGACAGCATCACATTAGCTCTTGTCCTATTATATGAATTTTATTGTCAAATATTTGTCAAACTATGCATTAAATGCATTGAAATGAATGACAGTAGAATTAGTCCAAGAGATTATTATGCATTATTTGTGTCCCAGATACTTTTGGTGACGATGGTACCTAAAATTGTTGAAAAAAATTAAAAAAACTAATCTGGTAAGAAATATTTAGTTGAAATTTTTAAAATTGATGGATGGAAGGTAAAGGTAAGGATATAAGCCAACTGTCCAACCATAGTAATGCTGACCGAAACTTGGCTTAGAGATGGCATAGATGATACCCTATTGAGTCTAGATGGTTACAGCATCTTCCGAGAAGTTCGTTTATGACCATATCAGATAGGTGGAGGGGCATGCATTTTAGTTAAAAACCAGGTTGACGGAC